CGGAGCGCCCTTGGAAACTCTTCCCGAGGCCCGCACGCTTGTCCCACCCGGCGCCCCCTTTCTTAACCCGAGCGTCCCCTCGCCGCCCCCCACCCCGGGCACCCAGGCCCTCCCGCAGCTGCTTTCTCCGCAGGCCTCGCCAGCGCCTCCCACGTAGATAGATTTGCGCTCCTGGAGACCCCGAGGTCTCTTCGCTGGGCGGGAGACCTCCCGGGGGGCATCCGGTCCACCCGACTCGGGTCCTCGAAGGAGAGGACAGGGGCGTGGAGGTAAGGAGCGAGGGGGATCCCCGGGGGTGTGTGTGGCTGGGTCGGGGACCCGCTTCCCGCTACCACGCGCCTTCGGGGTGGCCGTGCAGACCCCTGTGTAAGCGCGCGGCGGAGTGCGGTTTTGGAAGTCACGGTGGCCGAGTGGTTAAGGCGTTGGACTCGAAATCCAATGGGGTTTCCCCGCACAGGTTCGAATCCTGTTCGTGACGGCCGTTTTTTTCCCCCCCTCCCTCCTTCACAACATTTAAAGGGAACCCCGGTGCTTGCACGTGTCTTTCGTGCACTTCCCTGTCTCGAAAAGGAAAAGGGAAGCCGTCCCAAGGTCTTACCCCGGATTGGGGAGGGATGGAGGTGATCTTGGGAAACCTGAATATGCACACAGGCTTAATTAATTGTGTGTCGACAGCCGGGACACGAGGCACTTGCAGAATTCTGTAACTTCAGACTTGCCAGCAGCGCTTGGACACACATTTCATTCTGTTGAGGGGATAGGGAAGGGTTTGGCTGAAGAAGGGTTAAGTTTTATTTGGCAGCTTGAGCCGCCTGTTGGGTAACATTAGTCACACCTGGAGTTTCCTCTGAATCCGTGACCAGAAGTGGCACTTGGAGGTCAGGTTACACTTAAGACCTGGGAAACGGGGCATGCTCTCACTTGGGTTTCTTCCAGGTGTACCCAGGCGATTTCAGGGCTAAGAGGGAGCAGGCCGTCAGCACAGACACTGCAGATCCGGCTGGAACCAAGGCCAGGAGGTAACTGTCACATTTTGAGTGCTGTCATTTGTCAGGTAGGTATTTTATTTTTTATTTGTTTATTTTTGAGTTGGAGTCTCACTCTGTCATCCAGGCTGGGGTGCGGTGGCACACTAACGGCCACCCCAGCGTCCACCTGCTTGGCTCCCGCGATCCTTCCGCCTCAGCCTTCCAAGTAGCAGGAACTACAGGCGTGTGCTACCACACCCGGCTAATTTTTGATTTATT